GCAAGCCGGAGAGCTGGAATTAAACTCTGTAGTTAACTAGCTTCTCTTGAGCTGGCAGATTTCGCGGCCTGCCCGAGCGACGGCGCCGCGTGTCCTGCCACGCGGGCTCCGGGGAACGAGCCGCTGCGTCTCCGCGCCGGGGCTCACGCCTGCTCCGCGAATCCTCGAAGCTCGCTGCTTCAGCGCACGCGAAGTTTCAAGCCGGTTTCCAAAAGAAAAGCCCCGGCGAGCGGCGCTCCAGCCAGCAGACACGCTCTGCTTGTTGTGCAACTTGAGAGACACTGAAGCAAAGGTTTTCGGGTCTGTGTAAGCAGGTGGTTGTTATATTGACAGGCCAGATAAATACAGCTGGGACGGAGGCAGAGCCGGGGAGAACCACGCGGCTAAGGAAAATCCGAGATCCTCATCTGACGGCAGGATTTTTTGTTTTTTAAACCGTAACAATTTCCCTGCCGGGACGTATACCTGGCGAGGTTCAAAGGAACGCCAGGCAGAGAGATTTGGAACAATGCAGGTACAAACACGTGGCTTTTTTGGCGACTGCTTGTTGTTTCTGATCCAACCGCTAATGGCAATCGGTCAAAGGCAGTAGCGGGCACCCACCTGACGAGCCCTCGAGAAAGTCAAGCCTTAAACTGATCGCTAAACCTCACTGACTGCAGGCAAAAAAAACCCCGCGCACCTAAAGCCCCTCCAGATCACCTCTGCAACGTGGCCTCCCTCTGGGTTAGCCAGGAGCCCAGCAGAGGGGAAGCTCACGCTTTGCTTAAAAAGCCTCGCTTAGCGCAAGACAGGCCTCGAGCTTGGGGCAGGCTGGAATAAACCACGGCTCCCGACGAGCCCAGCGAAACCGCGTTGTGCAACAGCTTCCCCGGAATCGCCCCGACCCTGGAGGGGGAGGCGCCACCGCCTTCAACCTTCGATCTCCAACGCAGCGAGCAGGATTCGGGGCCTCCTCGGTGCCTCCTGGACCGTCAACATCGCCGACGACGGCCGAGGAAGGGTAAGGCTGCCTGGGAGCTTGCGCTTCGGCAGTTCGGCGGTTGCGAGACCGGTAGCTCCTGCCGGCTGACCGAGCTGCGGACCGGTCCGAGCTCCCTGCTTTTCTCGGACCTGGTAGCCCAGAGCGCAGGCAGACGTTTCACGCTTCGGAGACGACGA